TAGCCACGATCCTCAATGTCTGAAGGCAGCAAATTTAGTTGCTGCAATCTTAAAAGAGGATGTTTGACACTTCACATAACATGTTTTGACAGTGATTAACCGGTGATATTCTAGAGTGCAGTTACTTGCTTTCTAAAGAAAAGAAGTTAGATATCAGCCATTTGACTTAGACTGCCATCTTGAGTTCTGTCCAAATAGGATTCCCTAGGTACAGAAATTACCTACCACCTCAAACTCTGACAGACTGGCCTTTCATTTAAAACACAGGTCTGGAACCTTGTTGTTACATTCGGTTAGTTCAAGTTCATTAGTCAGAGATTAATTAGTCCCTTTCCTGGCCTCTAATGAGCTTCCTTCCAACTCTTGCACGCTTTGATCCAATTCTCAAAGGGGCCAAAGTGACTCTTAAAGTAAAATGGGCCGCCATGTTAGTCCCTGATTTAAACCTTTCAATGATTTCCTAATGCACTTGATATAAATTCAAACTCCTTCACAGGCCCATAGGATTCCTCTTGACACCCTGCTGACCTCTCCGTCATCTTGGCACCACTGCCCTCACAATACTCCAGACATACTAACTGGTTGTTGTTCTGTAAAAATCCAGGACTTTTCTGCCTTAGGGACTTCAAACACTCTTCTCTTTGCCTTTTCTCTGTTCTTCTTGCCTAACTTCTACTCAATCTTCAGGTCTAGGTTTAAATATAACTTCCTCAGAGAGAAAGCCCTCTAATCCAAATGGAGGCCTTCTACTGTACTTATTTGTAGCATCCTCTACTTATCCTTAAAACCTCCAGTTTATTGTTTATATGCTTAATATCTGGTTCTACTAGACTATAAATTCCATAAGGATAGAACTGTGCTGATTTAGTCTGCAACTATACTTCTTACATCTGGAACACTGCTGAGCACATAACTGGGGCTTGATGAATGAATGAATGAATGAATGTATGAATGAATGAATGAACGAGCGAACGAACGAACCTGACTATCCCATTATATCTTTTGAACAATATACTGAAATAGACATAGCATGACTATATGCTTAAAATGTTTGGAGGGAGGGAAACACAGATTATTTGGATGTGGCAGTGATATGTTTCTCTGTAAGTGAACGTTAATTATAAGACACTAAGAATTTGAAGAAATTTCCTGAGTCTCTGCCTCTACCTCCACACAGTATAAAATGATATGTACTTATTTTAACAATTAGTCAAGATCAAACATATTACTGAGCAAAGAGCATTATTATAGAGACCATACTAAATAAACAAACTGCCAAACTCATTGGTCTATAATGAGGTTAAGCTCTGCCTAATTCAGATAAAATTAAAGTTCTGGAATATTTGTATCAACTCTATAAAGGAATTATCACAAGGCAAAGAGTGTAAAGAAGGGAAGAAGTTTTTACTTCCTTTAATAGTTTTTTCCATTTAAATACTAGTTCGTTTTTTTCCCTTTTCTGTCATTTTCCAAAAATTTCAAATTAAAATTTAGTAATATATTATCTAATTTTTACATTAACTTTATTTTCCTAGGAATATGGGGAAATGCATTATGTTAATCATCAAGATCTAAGTTTTTATTACTTTTTCTTCTCTGAAGAGGTGGTTCTTCAAGTTCTAAACTTTTGGTTATTTCTAATATTATTCTTTCATTCTCCCACTATATCCTGAATTGTCATCCTTTCAGATGATAAAAGTATTGCTTCTACTATGAAAATAAAGACAAAAAGTCTAATCTCATGTTTTTAGCTTTATAGAAAAAATTGCTTTAACATTATGCAGTAAAGCATTTTCAAACAAATATAAATTCAAAAATATGAAGTCAATTCTAGTTTCCTCTGTGTATAACAAATCAACTCATAAAATTTTCAACTCATAAATATTTTCTGATATTTAGAAGTTTCTCCATCACAGCAAATAAAGCACTGACACCCAACCTGTGGTTTTTGACAAACTATATAATATCCTATTTGCCTTTGATCCACTTACTTTTTTTAATTACCAATTTTAATATGTGTTCAAAGAAATGACAGCATGGAGAATATCTGGAAAATCTTATTTTGTTGCAAACTTCACACCACAAAATAGAAAAGATAGAAAAAAATGTAAAGTTCTAGGCTCTTTCATTTGCTGCAACTCTTTAACTGTTCAATTCGTTCTTGTTGGCCCAATCATAGTCTGGCCATGTATTTCACTCATCTTTTCCCTATTTCAAACTGCTGCAGGTGAATTATTATAAGCCAACTGTCCTCTCAAGATCTAGAACCAACTTCCAACGTTTTCACTAGGTATCTTTCCCAAAATGATAGCTGTGCTTTAGTTTCATTAAATCAATTATGTCGTCACATATTGCTGAAGAAGCTAAAGAAGCAATTACAATGTTCTTCCATTTCATTGTATGGCTATCAATCTGTGACGTCATAAATTGAAATAATCCTCCATCTTTTACTTTTGTCATTCCAAGAAATTAATATTTTCACAGATGACCTCTTAAAAGTAAACTCTTTGTTCTAAGAAACAAAATGTTTTTGGTTATGAATAACAGGTACTCAGTTTCTACCAAAGTGTTTCGAATAAGCACATAATTTGCCAACATATTTCTCCATAAAAATCATATTCACTATAAAATCCAGTAGTTTCAAATGCATTGCATGCTTTATAACTTTTTTCCAGTGCTTTTTCCACTTAGAAACTCCCTGTTTTTCCAATGTTTTAAATGATTCTTCTTTATGGCAAATTCCTGTTAGGCACATAATGTGAAATGCCAACCACTAGAACTCTGTATGTCATAATTCTTTACTTTTTCCTGATTGCCCCTGGTCTTTGTGTACTTTGGAGGTAAATGTTCATAGAAGAGCCTTTTCTGTGGGTTTTTACATTATGCTGGTGACACAGAAACTAATTGATGATGATGATGCAGTTGATGAGGTGCAATAATTGCCTTTCCACTGTTATTGCAATACCATTATTTAACTCGTCCGGTGAATTTTTAGAAATTTTTGTGTTTTTATTTTTATATAATTTCCAAAAAAGTTTCCACAAAACAAACTACAACTGACTATATACATAAACACTGAACAACTGAAGAATAAGAAATACCATACACCAAACAATGCAAAGCTGGAAAAACATCAAATAAAACAAAAAAATCTATACAGGTGGGTTGGCAGAAGACTAGCTGAACTGTTGAGTTACAACAAAGGCCTCAATGCTTTTTTTGCACATTGGTTTTTAAAAATTCTTAACAATTACAAAACAACTGAACCATGATTTTATGTTACAATTTAAAATAGCTGAGTTCATGCTTGGCAGTCCTGTTTCAATCCTGAGTCACACTTTTTTCTCAGTAAGGAAGTTAGGAAATACAGAGAAGAAATATGTTCCCCTATCCCTCTACTTTCAACAACCTTATAGTTGACCTTAAGATTTTATTAATTTATTAGCTCTTAGGTTGTTATATGGAAGCTGTTCTGGAGTTTAAACATAAGAGACTTTTGCCTTTGGAACACTGCCTTTTAAAAGTACAATAAGGCCTCTCATTTATCTGACATTATCCAGAATGAAGAACCCCATAATGAAAGCCAAATATCCATAAAAATAAATCTTGTTAAATAAGAAACTGAAAGGTCTTAGATTTTACCAAGAGAACAAGTTGGCTCCCACAGTATTACTGCCTACAAGATAAATTTTAAACTTAAATATATTAAAGCTTTCCACCTTCTGGCCTCAAGTTATTTTTCTGTTCTTTTCTCCCTCCCCAAGCCATTTTTACAATACTTTTTTTCCCCACGATTACTTGTAATCATGTATTTGTGTTTACCGGTTTGTTTCCTGTCTCTTCCATTAAACCTAAGCTTCAAGCAAGCAGAAACCATATCTACTTCATTCACAGCTGTACATTCAGTACCTGCTATAAAACTGTCACATAGAAATCACTTAATATTTGTTAAAAGAAATTTACAAGTGTTTAAATGTAATGTTTCTATAAATGTAATCTGTTTCTACCTAAAAGCCTACACACATGCTGTAACTCACTGGTTCCCCACTTTGACCAACTCACATCTGAAACATGTATGAAGTCTTACCTGCCCACATGATCCAGTTGGGTCCTCATCTCATAAATCTTTCCCAAAGTAATTTCCTACAGGATTTTATTTAATTCTAACAACCCTATATTATTTTCTCCAATTAAAAACTGAAGAAACTAAAGCTTAGAGAGGTTAAGAAATGTATGTAAAGTCATAATCCCAGTGAGTCTAGGATTAAAATTAGGTCTGTCTCATTCGAAAGCCCTATTCTTGACCCTCTGTTATACTGCATCCTTAGCTAAAATGTTTCTCATATGATGTTACCAATTCAAAGCTCAGTGCTACCACATATTAATAGTGTAATATTGAGAAACCTCAGGTGCTGTACAGGTAAAACGGGTATTTATAGCACTTACCTTAAGAATGTATAAAGATTAAATGAGATAATTAATGAAAAACACACAGCACAGTGCCTAGCACTTAACACAGAAAACATTCAAGAGATGTTAACTATTATTATCATCATATTCCTTTAAAACAGGTGTCAGCAATTTTTTTCTGTAAGGGCCAAATGATAAATAGTTTAGGCTTTGTGAGCCATACAGTTTCTGTTGCGACAAAAACAAGCAGCAAACTGAACTTGGCCCACAGGCCACAGTCTGCAAACCCTGCTTTAGAGCAGGGTTTTTCAACCTCAGTGAAGAAATGTGGGTCTGGATAATTGTCGTGGAGAGCTGTCCTCTGCATTGTAGGATGTTTAACAGCATCCTTGGTCCCTACCCCCCAGATGCCAGTAGCATCCCCTAAGTAAGCACAACCAAAAATATCTCTGGGGGAGCAAAATCACCCTGAGTTCAGAAACACTGCACTAGAGCAATCAAACATATAAAGATGTAGCTTGAATTTTCTAATAAAGACAATACCTTAAGTGGAAAAATAATTTAACACACTAAAGAGTATTTATACTCACTTAGCTAAAATTCCCACACTTAGCAATAACTTTATAACTTCTGTGATACACACGGCTGTAGTTGAAAAGTAGAGTTCTTTATCTGATGTCCTTGTGTATCTTAAAGCTATGGTATAAGCTGCAGCCACCAGGGTCATCACTGTCAAGCAATATAACTTGAATATTAAACTGACATTTTCTGCAAAATATATGCAACAAAGATATTATTTAGTAGACAATATCAATGTATATAAAAGTTAATCAACATTATACCTCAAAATGCTTTCCAATTTCAAGCACAAAATACTTTTTAAAACCCATATTTAAAATGTTTTTCAAGGCAAACTTTCCCATGACATGAACATAAACAAATATATGTAAACAAAACACAGCTGACTTTGAATATCAACTGGTTAGGCATTGATTTTGTACCTGAGGACTGAACGCCTCAATTACCAGATAATGTGGCATACTGACTCTAGTTTCGGATGTTACAAATTACATATTTTATATATCTTTATAACTCAAACTTATGAAAGCAAAGCATAAAAGATGAAAACAATTACATCAATGTATATTCTAAATTTAAAGACAGCAGAAAGAAAACAAAAGGAATAACTGAGTGATAAAAGCTGAACTTAATATAAAACTTTATAATACAGAAAAACTTTTCATAACACAAAAATGGGTATTAAGAACGAAACTATAAAATTTGAAATGCAAGAATGCATACAATTTATAAACACTCAATTAAGAACTGCTTGCAAATATATGTGAGCAGCAGCCATCACTTGGGCAAAGGTAGGTCCAACACCTTCAACAAAACTGCAGGTACTGGGGGTACCAGGGCTCCCTTATACTTCCTTACTCCTAGCCCTGCTCTGATACTGCTACCATCACCCAAAGCTCAAACTATTTCTACTTTCTTTACCCATCTCCCACCTCTCATCCTTAACATTTTAAATCCTCAGGCTCAGGTTACACAAGGATCAGCAAAATTTTTCTGTAAAGGGCAAATAGTAAATATTTTAGACTTTACGGGCCATAAGGCAAAATCAAGGGTATCAGTAGGTACTTAGGTAACAACATAGAAAACAAATTTTTTGACAAAAGAATAATAATTGAGTACAATGCTTTACAATATAGGTCTACTACTGGGAACAATGTAATTATTTTTTTTGGGGGGGGGGTAACATTTTACTTCATTGGGCTTCAGAGTTAGTGTTCCAACAAATCAATTACAAATGTTCATCTGTAAAACCCATGCTTAGCTCATGGGCCATATAAAAACAAGTGACAGACTGGATTTGGCCACTGGGCAATACTTTGATGATCCAGGTTAAGAATCAGAGGGACACAGGGTGAATCTGGGTCACAACTGTAACTACAATACACACTAAATATGCTTTTGTTCATAGCTTTGTGAGCCTAACCACAATTCAAAGATGACTTTCATAGGGAAATAAAATTGGAGTTTCAAACAAAATATCTTTAGATAGGTAAGGCAGGAACTTACAAGGTTACAGGTTCTTCAATGTAAGTATGTCCCAGGAAGAATTAAAGAATTATCTGTAAATTGTAGGCAAATTTTTAAATTCATTAGGTCTTGACTAAAAAGTAATATGAAGAATAGAAGAAACAGAGCTTATATATGCCAAAACCTTCTTTCCAAAATATCTGAGGAGCCAAAAAGCAATGTTTATGTAAAAGGAAGTGAAGATCACTACAATACTTCCTTTGTTCTGAAACTTTCCTACATAAGGAAAAAACTGTATGACTTCAAAAATAAACAGCAATAACTTTTAATTACTCTGTAAAGAAGAAAGCACTTCCCTTCTTCTAGATCAGGGGTGAGCAAACTACATCTCATCTTTCATTTTTATACAGCCTTCAAGCTCAGAATAGTTTTAAATTTTTAAATAGTTGGAAAAAATACTTTTTAAATAACCTTTTGTGACACATGAAAATTATATGAAATTCAAATTTCAGTGTCTATAAATAAATCATTATTGGAACACAACCATGCTCCTTTGTTTCCAAATTGTTTTGGGATACATTTTTGCCCTTCAATGGTAAAATGACATCCAGCCATTTACAGAAAAAATTGCCAACCCATGTCCTAGATTATCAGCACTTTCATAAATGAGAGGTCGGGACTGCTAAACTAAAAACTGTTTTAGCTATTATTATATAGGTTCCTGATCTCAAAAACAATGTTTAAACACTAAACCAAATATTTATAAGCTACAAATATATTCTCACCTATAATTATTATTATCAACTTTGAAAGTATACCTACTTGCACAGTGATTATATAGGAATTTATATTATTGAAAATAACTACTGATTTAAATGGAAGAGCAATCAAATAAGTTTAGATATCTGTAAAACGTATAGGCTTTGGTGTGAAATACCATTTAAAAACAAACTTTTAAAAAATACTTAATGATTTTAAGCATTTTCTCTAAATTCAGTTTAACAATAGATCAAAAGTTCTTCATTCCATTCACAAATCCTCCCGTATGAAATTTCAATTAGCAATTTCAATTTTCTCAGTGTGTTATCAAAAATCCATATCATGTATTCACTAATTTTGTATTATTAATACATAGTATTAGTAAATACATAATGTATTAATATTTAGTAAATTTTGCTAAGTATTCACATCGTGCTCAAGGCCAGTAACTATTAAAGCTAGTCCATAACTAAAATGCATTATGGAGGTGGCACCCTGGCTCAGTAACATCTGCACTGTTTTCTGCTCTAATTCCATTAGCTCCCATTCATTATTTTTTTCTGTGTGGAAAATGTCCCCCAAAAGAAATTTATAGTCTGAAGTTATTTTGTTTCAGTTATATTTTACTATATTTTAGAGGGAATAATATTTATAATACCTGAAAACTTGGAAATTCAATAAGTTTCAGATAAATTCTTTGTGAATACCAGGAAGCTATGGTAACTGCATTTTTGTTAAGAGTATATACTTCCAGTAGGCATATAAGAGTTCTAACATGACCAAGGCACAACAAATATTAGCAATAGCCTAAATCCATAAATTGTTACAACTATTTCAGATTATGACTTAATTCCTTCAATTTTTAAGTTTTGCTCATCATTAATCCTACTGTCCCCATTCTGTTAAGTTATCAAAACAACGCTATTTTTTTCCTTTACTTCCTGTGTTGCCACCAAAAAAAAAAAAAAAAGACCTTAAGGTTGGACTTATTTGAAATGGGAGAATGCATACGAGAAGCATATGATACTACAGGCAATGCCCCTGGGCAGGGCTTAAATTATAAATGCGGACTCTCCAACCAGGAAAATAACTTGGCACCCATGCAAAAGATAGTCTTTAAATATTTGCTCAACATTTATTCAGAGGTGAAGCCAAGTGCTCTATGGGGGAAGGGTGAAGAAAGAATAGGGTGTCGCCCAACCTCTCCTAGCTACTGTTGGATCTTCCAGAAATTCAGCCTCTGGTCCTAACTTCCTTTCCCACTCTGCAAAACAAAAGGGCAGCAGAGTTCATCAGACTCACCCTCATGAAATGGCAATTAGTCATTAAGTAGTATTACTCTAATGCACCATCCCTGCTAAGAGGAAGGTGTATCTCACCTTCCACCCAAAATATCAGTGTTCCTTCTAACCACACAGAACATTCTCCGTGGGAGGAACTCTGTTAACGACTGCTTTCTCCAGACGCTTCTTAGGCTCTGTACCCGTAGCATGCCCTTAAGCCTCTGAGCATCTTAGTTCAGGAGGCGTAAAAGAGACCGCAGGCGCGGTGACCCCGGCCGGGACAGAGAACGGTCCTGCCTCCCGCTGGGTGGCCCGGGTGCAGCCTGGACCTGTACCCCGCCCCCTCTCCGGGTCGGCAGCAGTCCGGGCCTGTCTGAATTCAGCGCCCACCCACTAACAGCTCGCCGAGGAAGTAGCGGTCTGGAGCTGCCGAATTGCCCCGCGCAGAGTCCGCCGCGAGGAGGCCAGCCGCAGCGGCAGGCTGGCTGTTCCGCGCGCCCTCACAAGCGGCGGCGCGGACTCAGCGGGAGCGGCTCAACACAAACTGATGCCCGACGCCTCAGCCTGGCTCCGGGGCACGGCGGGGGCCGAGGGTGCTCAGCTACCAACAGGTGCGAGAAAGCGCTGACGTTCGCCCGCCACCACCTCCCGTGGGCACCCCCTGTCCCACCGGTCCCCAGCCTCACCTCTTGTGGCAGCCATGGTTCCCTGACAACCCCGCTCGGAAAATGACGCCCGCCCCCTCCGCGTTCCCTGCGTTGGACGCAGGGCACCGCCTCCTATGGTCATAGAGAAGAAACCGCTCAGCCTAGAGCGCCTTGCCGGGCGACCAACAGCCGGGCTCGGGACCGGCCAAGCACTAAAATTAGACTCGGGAATCCGAGGTAAGCCCGAAAATGGAACGACCCGGATAGAGGAGAGGCCTTTATAGCCGAGTCCTTGTTAACAAGTGAGTAGAACTCTATTTTGAAGGCATCGTCGGTAAACTACAACTCCCGGCAGGCTAAGGAAGCGGAGTCAAGGAGCGGAGCGTTGCCTCCTGGGAATTGTAGTCCTCACCGACGTGACTTGCAGGCAACTAAGGAATTGGGGTTCCGCTTAGTGATTCTTTCCTGTTAGAGGTATTGTAGAAGCTCTCAGAATTTGTAAAGTAACAGAAACTACTTTGGGCAACGTTGTAACTTCCAGCTAGCTTATGCCCTTCCATTGTTACCTCTTATTTAAACTTAATATAATTATATTGCATATTGTCCAGAAGTCTTGTGCCTATGCCTCGGTCCTTATTGTCATGATTAGCATTGATTATATTTACCTAGCCAGACATTCTAACTACATGATCTTCGCACAACAAAAGGGCTTTAAAAGTATTAAAAATACTTTTAAAAGTATTTAAAAATACTTTTAAAAGTATTAAAAATACGGGTCAACAGGCATTTACTTCTACAGCTATAATCTGTAGAATAGTCCTTTCACTAGAGGACGTTAATTAGCATTTAGCAACGTTAGAAATTGTTCATTGGCAAAATGAATGGCTCTCAAGATATGTGGCTTGGTTAAAAATACTATAAAGGTACCTCAGCCCTCACAAGAACAGGGGTGCAAGATTTTGAGAGGCCCAGCAGCCTACACCTTCTGTAGAATGATCTTTCTCCAAAATGACTTTTTAGAGGTTTCAATGGTCAATGTTATATACCATTGTCTTATCATTAGAAATACATACAGATTTATCTAGTCTGTTAACATTATTGGAAAATTTTGCATGCCTTATTAGCGTCACATTAATATTAGGAGAGGAAACCACAGTTGATTTTGCAGAGTCAGACATTTGATTAATTTCACTTTGGAACAGTGTTGGACCTTCCACCTGGTTTTATGTGTGCTCACTAGTGTTAATCACCTCTTCCTGTAATTGACACAGATCCCACTTGTGGAATCATTCAGTTCCCTACTGTATATGTTCTTGTATATACACTTAAATAACCACAAGAAAACTCAAATGTGTACTTGAAACTAATTTTTAAAATTAAAATATTCTGGGCCGGCCGAGTGGCGTGATGGTTAAGAGCTGGCTTGGGACGCCAGAGGGCCCCAGTTCAGATCCCACATATGAGGGCCAGTGACACTGCCCTCCACAGCTAAGATGCTGAACAACAGCTCAACCTGGAGCTGGGCTGCCGTGAGTCGCCGGCGATGGCGTAGGCTGCAGCCCCTGCTGCAGTGGGTTGCCATGGGCTACCGTGTGTAGCCAGCAGCCAGCGTGAGCGGCCAGCAGCCGCAGTGAGCGGCCATCCAGAAGCCGGCGACTGATCTGCCTCACCAGGGAAGAGCGCAATGATGGTGCCAACTTGGGCCAGTGAAGCAACGTCCTCCACAACTAGACTGAAGAACAAAAGGACAGCAACTTGTCTGTTCCCCTTCCCCCAATTCCCCAGCACTGTTTCCATCCCCCCAATTCCCCAATAAAAATCTTTTTAAAAAAAATTAAAATATTCTATCATACATTCCTTTTTTGTTTTACAACTACTTTGTACAGTTTAGCTCTTTCCATTTTGGAATATCATTATAGTTTCAACTTAGTTTAATTAGCTATAATTACTCTCCTTTGATGCTCAGAGTACCCCAATATGGCCCTTGTAAGCCTGCTCCTTTCTTTAAGCCTGCAAAAGATTTTTGAATATTCTTTTATTTCTGGTGACAAGAGGTTCCAGGCCAATCTTGATTTTTCTGTGTCCTAGATCCTGCAATCCACTACACTTCAAGAAACTATGGTTCCTTCTGGTGGAGAATAGTATTACACACAGAGATCACAATTAGAGTGGTGGGTAAAATGCTGTCAGGCCATTTCTTGTGGCATTTCTGTTTCAATTAACATATCATGCTGCTGAACCCTACTTTTGTTACACATTTTCACTGCCCACAAAGACTTTCTACTCATTGGCAATAACCTTGACTAGATTTTGATGCCTTTTGTCCTAACCTGATCAGCCCAAGACCACCAGGGACAAAACCTACATCATCAGATAGAGTCAGGATTATTGACCCATTCCAGTGAGGGAAACTGCACACAAGAGGAACTATGGGATGTTTCCGGAAATAAAGGAAAAGACAGGGTTATAGGATCCAGAGGAAGAATGAACTTAGAGGAAGCAGTGTTTTGATAAATTCAGAGCAGGGCTGTATGTATGAGGTCAACGTCAGATCTGGACTGCAGAATAGTCTCGGGATCTTGTTTCTTGGAAACCACAAAATTATTATAGATATGGACTGCTATATTCAGGAGCCCCTTAAATTAAGGCTTTGTACCTAGGCTGGAAATTGAGGCTGCTTCTTTGTGTCAAAATGCTTTAAAGTCTCCAAGCAAGAGTCAGGTGTTTCACTCTTACTGATGTAATTTCAACAGCAAGGTTCCAATAGTGTACGATTGTAGAGAACAAAATTTTTAAGTGAGTTAGGAAGGAGACACTCAAAAGAGGGGGTTGTTATTAATACTTTACAGCATATTCTTGGGAGTAATATTATTTCCTATTAACTTTGCAGCTGGCTTTTCTGTTACCCCAGCCCAATGAAGGCCCAAGCAAATATTTACATTCTTAGTTTGAACTGATTTTTCCTTTCCTATTCTGAATTATCCAAAGTCTTGGAGGAGAAAATATTGGCTTAATGTGTTTCTTTTATGTATGCCTAGCTTTCTGTATAACCCTGGTTAGTGCAAGAAGCATCAGTCTTCAATGTGTGAACCACATGGTAATTTGCCTCATAATGAGCTAAGCTTACAGTGCCTGAAGCAGCTATTTCTATTGCCATTTGAGACACTAATGATATTCCTAATTGTCACTACCATGCTGCCTTGACTCTGCTCACTCCATCTCTGCTCAGGCATGAGAGCTACCCGAGTTTCAGTGAATTGTATAAAGGGAAAGCAAGTACTATACCCACTGGTAATAAAGTAAAAGCATGAACTTAAACAAAAAGGCTGTGCAGTAAGCAAATACCAAAAGGCTTAAGGAGGTTATAGTCAAATTAAAATATATTAGCTATATAATAGATTATTAAAGTGCTAAGGTTTAAAGTATAGTAAATGATAACCATAAAGAACATGTAGACAAAAGCAGATATCGCAACATAATTGTTTCCAAGACAGTTTAAACATACTACTATCATCCTGCTATTGAGAAAAACATCCAAAACCAATTTTCTAGGTTGTTGTTATTTTATTTTATTTTAAATTTTTTATTGGGGAACAGTGTGTTTTTCCAGGACCCATAAGCTCCAAGTCAAGTAGTTGTTTCAATCTAGTTGTGGAGGGTGCAACTCAGTGGCCCATGTGGGGATCAAACTGGCAACCTTGGTGTTATCCAACAACCGGCCGCCCCAGGTTGTTGTTATTTTAGAATAATTCTTTCCTATGATGCAATATTACTAAAGACAAGCCAGAAGAATTGTTGCATTTTACAATTGAGAAAATAATAAAATACAAGGAGACAACGTAAAATTCAGCATCTGGACTAGAAGAGTTAAACATGAGTAATAATCATCAATATCTAAACATTTCTTATTTGATCTTAACTCTCCCTTGCTGCTGCTTCCTTTTTAGTTACCATATCTTATTTTTCTTTTCCTGACAGTCACTGATATGTATAGTCTGTACTTATTTCTACCATTTTCTGCTTAACTTGCTGCGATCTTATTTCCACTCAAGCCAACTCTATTAGGGCAGAGCTCAGCAGTTGCCTGCTCCATTGACCTTTTCCCATTCATCATCCTTTTTTGTTTAGTCATCAGATATTTCCTGGAAGCTGTACTGTGCCAAGAATTATTCTACATACTAACTGAGAGCTAGAAACTAGAAAGTGAGAAAAGCAAGGATAGGAGTGCCGTAGAATGAGGCAATGGAGAATCTCTGTTCCCTTGGCTAACAGTGACAAAGCCCTTGCCATGTAAGTGCTGTATACATTTTAACTCCTTTAGTTTCCTTGACAACCAAATTAGCAGGGAACTACTGTTATCCCAATTTTTCTGATGAAGAAACTGCAGCAAAGAGATATTAAGTAAAACAGCTGGTAAGTAGTAGACCTAGACTTTACTTGCCTGACCACAGAGATTCCTTTATGTCTTTTTTCACTCTTCTGACTGTTCCTCTTGTCTCATTTGTCTCTTTCTCCTCATTCCATCCCTATTTCCTTGGGGTTGACCTTCCAAATTATCTTTTTCCAGCTCAAATTCCAGTCAATTCTGCCTTACTATTTTTGTCATCCCTAAAACTCAAATTTTCTACTGTTTTTTTGTTTTGTTTTTTTAGCTGAGCCATCCTGCCACCTGTTGGCAGCTCAGCGGCAGCTCAGCTCGGGCCAGGAATCAAACAGGCAACCCTGTTGCTCAGAGCTCGCACTCTTGAGTGAGCTCTTAACCTCAATTTTTCTACTCTGAATATGTTTTTTTGTTTGTTTTGTTTTTAAAGATTTTATTGGGGAATTGGGGGAGGGGAACAGCATTGGGGAGTCGGGGAAGCGGAATAGACAAGTTGCTGTCCTTTTGTTCTTCAGTCTAGTTGTGGAGGATGTCTTTTCACTGGCCCATGTTGATGTTATTGCGTTCTTCCTGGGTGAGGCACTTGCTCACCCACCATTGGATGGCCACTCATGGTGGCTCACGGCAGCTCACGAAAGCTCATGCCCCCGCTGCCAGCCAGCCCCACTGCAGCCTATGCCATTGTCAGC